CCCTTAGGTGGCATCAGAACAAGTAGTGCAGTCTGACAGCTATTGACATTCTGGACATAGAGAGAATGTGATAGGAGATATTCTGTCCAGGGGGACAAAAAAACCCAAAAAACTGTGGGAGGAAGCAGTGTTGAAGAAAGTATTTCACAGGTCATGCCAGCTCTGGGGGGACTCCCAGCCTCCATCAGTTTCTCAGTGGAGGCCATCACCAACTCGGAGAACTTTGAAAAGAAATATTTCTCCACAAACTTCTTTTCCACTATCTCATTAAGCTGATGTACTCATAAAATAAGCCATCATCCCCAATGACATGGAAAGCATTGGTGATGATGTCAGACAGCAGAAATTTGCTTGATGAACTTTCTGCACTTATCAGTCTAGACTGATTCTCACTCAGTTAAACAGAATGGATTTTAATTATCTTACAGACTCAAGCAAGATTAAGCCAAGAAAATCAATGAATAGTTCAGAAAAAATCTTGGTTAAAAATTCTGATAATTTCTGCTCTGCTGCAGATGGATAATGCAGAATACTCGATTTCAGGGATCATTCTTGTTTAAAAATTGAGAATATAAGCGTACAAGTTACTACAAACCTCTTCTGTGAATGTGTTCAGTGGACTCAGTGGACAAACTCAAGAATTAACAGTATTCATCAAGATTCTATAGAACTGATACAGTTTTTATTCCTAAATGATGCATGCAGTACTGCATCAGCTGTGATGAAAATGTATTTTTGTTGTGAAGATGAAGAAAGAAGTATTGTATTTTTAAGTTATATCAAATCTCTCTTTTTTTTTTTTTTTTTTTTTTTTTTTTTTTTTTCCTGAAGATACATTACAGTCATTTTATACAGAGAAGCCTGGTGAATAACAGAGGTCCTAGAGGACCTAGAGGACTCTTCAACACTAAAGAGTCTCTTTCTACCCTTCCTCCAAGGAGGTGACTCCATTTTCTGTTTATTCTCAGGATCTGTGCTACTGTTAAGGAGGCAACAGCATGTGCAGAAATACCCCCTTTATGGCATGCAGGTGTGAACAGCAAGCAAACGTGTTGAAAGAAAGATGTAATGCACAGTGATAAAGCAAAAAGTCAACAATAAAGGTACTAAATCTGGAGATAATTCATCCCTTGGATATTTTTGACAGTGACATGAAAATACAGATTTATGTTAAAGCAAAGAAACACAGCAAAAAAACAGAAGAAAAAGGGAGGGAAAATTCCTGGGAAAATCTATCAAAGACAATGATTTATGTGTAACTAAAGAAAAGTTCATAACTCTATACTGGTTTACTGATTATAAGGTAAATATATCTGGGATTCTTTATGAAAGGTATAAAATATACATCTTGCTGTTGTACTGCTTCCTTGTAGATATCATTTATGGTTTATGATATCATATTCAGCTTTGGATACCTTTTCAAGAAATACAGATTATAGCCGTTATGCTTAAACCATATAAAACAAAAAGATTATTCTGTTATTTAAATATAAAATGTGAATAATATATGCTACTTCAGGTGGAATAAACAGGAAACTTGACAGATGTATTCAAACTTAATAATTCTAAGTCTTCCAAGTAGGGTGATCTCAAAGTGTTCAAACTAGTGATGGGGTTTAAAGTCTTAGAAACAGCAGTGAAAAAAAAGAGAGGTAAACAAAACAAATTTATCTAAAACCTTCCACTGAAAGAGTAGCAGGCATATGGAGCAAGCTGCTTAGTAAGACAGCTGATTCAGATTGCATAGGTAAGTTTAAGAGACAGCTATATATTTTTATGGAGAAAGTGGCTTGGAATTCACAGCAAGAGGATATATGGTTGAGATAACTAAAAAGGGACATGCTTATTTTAGCACAAGATTTCCTGTTGATAACTTTTCTTGGGTTGTTTTTTTTCCCCCTTTCCATTAAAGCCAACTGATGAGTTTTCGTAACAATTATCATAATGATATTTAATTTGCATTATCTTTCCCACTTGTGTGAATGTTTACAATCACCACCAGAAAAAACCTGCTATCCGGAGATTTATTCCTTGAAATCCAATATTTTAATAGTAAACTTACTGAGGCTTTACCATCCACTGTTTTCACTATTTTAATGTAAATCATAAAGTAATCTTGATTGCCTTCCATCCAATGCTGAAATCAGATGATGCCTTGTCTACAACAGTTATTTTTTCATAAAATTTCTTATTTCTGTCTTCCTGATAGAAGCACAGTTCCTGTATTGCCACTGACACCATTTTTGTCTCAGTATGACCATTTGATTTTTAAGCTGTCTAGGCTATAGTTGTTCAAAACTGTAGTTAAACTACTGGTACCACTAGCATTCTTATTACTGACATGGGTAGAATTGGACCCATGACAATAGTGTTTGGAATCATATACAGAGGATGTCAAACTCAAACTTAACTAATTTTAAAATTAGGAATCTCAAGTCAAGATCCTCAATTCACAGTTAATCCTGAGCATTTTTCAAAAATGCCAGAAGATCTAATACTTAGCACTTTTCTAAAAGCAGAAATTAAACTATTTTAAATATCTTTAAACAACAATACTCAAACCTGAAACTTTGCTACAAAATAGCGAATTCCCATCCCTGTGCACAACCCAGGATGATGACAGAACCACAAGTTCTGATACTGCTTCAGGCACTGCTGTAGACAATTGTTTCTAGCAAGCTGTCCATTTACTTTTCCCAGAAAACAATTTTTCTCTAAAGAAAATTAAATCCATTTTCTATCCTAATCACATATATCGTATTTCTCACTCTCCTTCAATTTGACTTGTGACTAGAGAAAGCAATTTTGTTTATCTTCTTTCAAAAGAGAAAAGTTAGTTTGGGCTAAGAGCCCTAATTGTACTAAGCTCAACGACAAACAATCTTTGATTTCAGTGGGAACGCCACATTGCACCACATTTGTTACTGCAACAATTGGTAACCCCATAAGGTGCTTGCTGCAGGTTCAGTTTTCATAATATGCCAATGATTTTATTACAGCACACTTGAGATGGAAGGGTTCGTACAAGTAAACAAGTGGATATCATTTCCATTTGTAATTATATTTAGGAGGGAAAAAAAGGAAAAGAAAAAAAAAAAAGGAAAAAGTAGTCTATCTCTATATCTTCATTCTTTTTTTTTTTTTTTTTTTTTTTTTTTTTTTTTTTTTTTTTTTTTTTTCTCAGTAGGAAAAGTCACACAACACCTGGTGCTGCAGTTCAGTGGCTGACAGTACTTAATATTCACAGTTCAATATAAGTTTAATAATAATGTGAGGAATTCATATGAGCCACTGTAATAAGTTGTTTCTTGATGAATAGGGCCCCTCATCTAGATATAATGACAAGTGCAAACCTCCATATAACTCTTTGCATTACAATGAAAGCAAGCTACAGGAATGGTTGGCTTAATCTCCCTACTGGAGTTTTTATGTTTTGACCATATTGGACTTGATGCTGCTGGACAAACTGCAGTATTATGAACTCTGGCCATACTGTCATTTTCTAAGAACCCACACGTTTTTAATGTGAATAGTAGATAATTTTCCTAATGAAACTTTTAAAATTCTAGAACTCTTTCATAACCATACTTGATAGATAGCAATCCAGAGATTTTGTCTTTTTCTTCCACAAAACTGAGAGAATTAGACACTCAAACAGCTTCTTAAAAAAAAAAAAAAAAAAAAAAAAAAAAAAGTCCAGTACTGCATCTTTATACAGATCAATGTCCAATTATAAGCACAGAGTTGCTGTGGCAAAAGGTCAGGAAAAAAATAATCTTTCTGGCATTTATTACTTGGAAAATAAGGTCATGTATGAGGTCTACCTTCAAATATATACAGAATAAATTATACTGCAGCATTCTAAATGTTCTACACAGCAAAAATTATATTACAATCTCAACATAATCAGAAAAATGAAGTTGAACATGTATTTCCTGATGACTGTACTATAGATCAGACTAGGCTAAGAGGCAAAAAACTTAGGCCAAATTAATCAACAATTAATAAAAACCTTACAATATTTTTCTGCTTAATTATAAATATAGCTTCTTATTAAGACTGACTTATTTAATAATCTTTTAACTGTTTAACACTGAATCATCTTCCCCACAACAAAGTAATATAATAGTAAACATACAAAACATTTAAAAATAAATCAGTGGTGCACTTACTGCTTACAGCCTAGAAGTAAAATACAAACACACACAATTCTGGACTACTCTGATGCTTTTAAGAAAAAAGAAGTGTGCCTTTTGAAAAAAAAAAAACCAAACCCTCATAATTAGATAAAAGACATCTGGAAAAAAATGAATTTGATCAGGATTTGAGGAAATAAACAGGCTTGTTAGTCAGAACAAATGCTTGCAGAGAGCATTGTCATTGTCCTAAGTCATTTTAGATGTTTCACAGGCACTCATCTTTGGTACCTTCACAGGATGTGAATGAAATTATACAAAAACAGATTATACTATTATTTGACACTTCTCACACTCCTATTAATTGTGGAAACAACATTATGAATATGAAAATTCATCCATGAAATGAAAACTTCTTCTGATCTAGTTTTATTCTTGCCTGATATCCTGACCCTGCCTTTTGCTTTTCCTCTTCTCCAAACTACGTGAGTAATGTAAATGACTGGCATTCTTCTATCTGTTGTAGTCATGTCTAGTTTGAATTTCCAAATCATCCTTTGGCAGAAGGACTGTATATAATATATCACAGGCAATGCCAGTGGTGATATTTTAATCATTTTATAAAAGTACTAATTTTTTTTTTCTTTTTTTTTAATCTACTTTGAATACTTGTGGTTTCATTTCATGTTCATTCTGAAAGATACTGAGCGGTTTTTGCTCTGGGCTAGCTACAAGATTTACTGTTTCTTCTGATAGTATTATCAGTGGGCTATTCTATCCTGATAAACTGAAACTGCAATACTAATAGGTTTATAATGATGGCGTAAACTCAACGCTTTTATAAGCATTGGAGGCTTTACTCACCTTGTTCAAGTGGCTGGCTTTTAGTTGAAGTAGTTTTCATCTTGAGTGCCTCCCTAACAGACATGTCACAGCAGGAGCCTTTGTTAGTGTCTTGGTCACTGTCAGCCTGATCACTGTCCCCATGCCCGCTGTCCCTCAAGCTGGCTCTTTCTGGATCCTTGAACGTGGAGCTACTGCAAATGGGGAAGCCGAGAAAGTTATTTAATAGGCCTTACCTTTGAACAAACTGCTGCCTGCTGCCCATGTAATTGGGCTCTGCGGGAAAATTGTCTGTCTGTGAAAGAGAAGGAAAAAAATACGTATAGTTGTAACTGGACAAATCTCCTGCAGAGCAACAAGATTTCCTAGAGGAGAAATGATTAATAATTCAAAAATTCCCTTAATCTTCAGATTTGTACATTTTAATTAAATTGGAAAATGTGGGCATGTAATTATGTGTTCAGAACAATTAAATGATTCCGGTCCACAAATTACCTGCTAAAGTAAACAATGAGGCTCCGATAAGTGGTATTCTCTGTTAGTAACCTGACAGATGACACTGTTTATGTTTTTTCATTAGTTAGATATTAAGACTGATGGTTCTTGAAAATGAGAGAAAAAAAATTACTTTTGCATATTACAAAAGTGAATTATTCAATAATACTATTTTTTAATCATAATTACATCATTTACTGGGATTCTGAAGCCTTTATCGCTGTAATATAATTCCATATATTTCTACGTTACTCTTGAATTTAAAAAAATAAACAAAAAAATCAAGAAAATTTATGGCCGATTAGCTGTAGGGTTTCCTAAATGCTACTGGAAAAGTGCAAATACAAAATTATTTGGGTTTTCTCTCTTTAATTTTCATCAGTATTAATAACTATATCAGAAAAATGAGAACCACGCATGCAAACAGGAACATTAAACGACTGTTGAAGACAATCAGGTTTTAAAAGAAGATACTTTTATTAAGTCTGTCATGAGGATATTTTTAGCAGCATGAGCTTTTAGTAACTGCAGAAACACAAGTATTTACAGCATCCAGACCAACATGGAGTCCTGCCAAAGGGAACTGAATTCCCCTTGTATCATCAGCTGAAGTTCTTTGGGAGAAAGAGAGACTGCATCTTTCACAAAACTCCATATACTGTACATTCACACACGTCACTTCTTCTTGCAGCTGACCTAGTGACAGAGCTTCTACTGTTTTCTGCATCACTTCATATCACACCATTATGCTTTGCAGCAGCTATGAGTTTTACAACAGCATCTAGAATATCAGTATCGGTAACACAAGCAGCGCTCACTTAATGGAGCAGAAGGCCCAAGGTAAGGTTTAATGTTGCACAACAAGTGTTTACACAAGTGACTGGTGTCTTAGATATTTGTTTTTTCCCTGTCACTCCCCACTCCAGTTCTTTTAGCTTTGTTTTGGTTTTATAGGCAGGTGGTAATCAGAAATATTTGAAATACTTCTTGTATGGTTGGACTATTGGAGCTTGGAAAAGATGCATGAATTTGTATCTGAAATTTAACAGTCACTGCTGTTTGCAACACAAAATAGGTGGCCACATGCCACTCTCAAGGTACACGTGAAATAGATGTGCTTATATACCAGAGATATCTTGTGCAATTTACGGAAGGAACAGAAGATAAAGAATTATCTTTTGTCTGGCATGTATGAAGTCAGTTCACACTGTATTTTCTTGTTTCTAGTTAAATCCTTAGGTTCAAAAATTATAACACACAATTTCTAATTTAAGCAGTGGAGTACATAGCATTGTATATGTCATTCCAAAAATAATCTGATGTTTTATCAGTGAATTTTCTTTTATGATAAACTGTATGATGGAATCAGGTTTTACTCATCAGTTTTCAAAATATAGCATATATCACCTATACCTATAAATGATTTTTTATCATATCAAAACTGCACAAAATTTGGAAATCTGGGTGTTTATGTGCAACTAGAGACTTGTTCTTCATTATTAAAAGATGGGTTTATTAAAGTTCTTAAATACTGCCTAAGAAATACAAACAATATGCTATTTTACAGAAGGAGAATTCTGAAGATCTAGGACATCAGACTCTGTGTTGTGTCACTGATTTTCCAAGCCAGCATTTCAGAAGCTAATGATTTCAGCTACAGGTATCCAAACTTTCTGAAATCTGGACACTTCAATTAGGGGGCAGTTTAGTGCTTTGATATTAAAAACACATAAGATCTTGGTTTAAACATATGCAATTAGAAAAAAAAGCTTGTCTTTTAACATGTTTCAAGTTATAAAAACAAACACTGAAAACAGAAAAAAGGAAGAAATGGAGGCATAAAGATAAATATTTCAGCATTCTTATAAGTAATCTCTTAAATGTAGCACATCATATTTTGGAACCAGCCTTAATTCTGCCATTTATTCTTTTGTTGTCACAAATTGTAAACTAGTATCTCTCTTGTGTGCAGCAAATCTACCTCATATATATATATATATATATATATATATACACACAATCATTATGACTCTCACAGAGCCCAGTATTCTCAACCCAAATAAACCTTTACAATTGCAGAAATCATGTCTGTTTTCTAGGTCTAGTATCTCAACTATAGATGCCAAGGAAAACTGACATTATGCTTTTACTTACATAAGATATCTATATCCTTCTAAACACAGCTGCTACTAGAATAAACATTTCCATTTTTTATGTTCTTGTGAGGCAAAATGCCTGCTATAAACTGCCTTTTCAATAATTCTCTGTCATTAGAAAAGTCAGACTTTTGCCCTGAAATTAATTATAACTTCTCCTGAAAGATGCTGCTAAGAATTTATCTATAAGGTGGACCACAGTAAGAGCTGGTCATACTTTTTTGTTTCTACTTTTTCATAGCAAAAAAAGCATTTTTCACACCCTGGGCTAGCCAAGATAGAAAGTTTAAAATAGAAGTTACGATCCCATCTTAGCTGCCACCCTAATAATGGGAGCTGCTTCTGAAAAATTCTGTATTTATGGTAATCATTAATGACATTTAACTCAATAATAATTTGTCCAATTTTCTTCATATTGTTATTTTGCAGCAATACAAACAGTTGGGTGCCGTGTTACAGTGAGTTCATTGCTGCAAAAGAACAAATGTAGATACTTGATAATCATATACAGCCACGGAGCTAAGAGTTGAATTCTTTTTCCTTCTGCTCTAAAATCATTAGACCTTCTTCCATGAACTACGAAAGTCTGATGTTTGTGTTGAGCTGTAACAGAGCATTCTGAGATACAGGCAGCAAAGAGATAATTACTTCATGTATAATAATATCTATACAAAAATTTGGATATTAAACAAACATTTAATTTTAAGGCTAGGTGTTTTAGAGGAATCTCAGGTAAGCATCCACTTCACAACAGATTACAGAGAGATATAAATGTCTAACTCCCTTAAAAAAACTTTTTTTGCTTTTTTAATCCCAGTTGAAGTGAGAGGTCATATACTTAAAATTTTGATACTTCAACATCTATGGAAGTGACATTACATATTTCAGCTCATGCATTAATCATATCTCTTTACACTGAATAGCTGTGACTCTAAGAAATGAGTTCTACTTTAAAAATCTATCAACAGCAAATAAACTATTTGTTCTTCTGTGGGTATACAGCCTTTTCTAGGAAATCAGAACAACTGTGTCTGACTGTTTGCCTCCAGTTTTAAGGTAGGTTTCAGGTCACCTGCAGATAACCATCTAAAAGTTAGTTAGTCACCTGCTCTGAGCTCATCAGCTAAGACTGCTCTATAAGCATTTAGAGACATACAAGATAATTTGTCCCATTTGGGGCATCTAGCTTTAGGTACATACTGCTCCTGGAAATTATTTTCACTAATAAGTAGGGAAATATATATGACCAGGAAGATGCTCAGTGTAATAACTAAAGCTAAGCAAGATGCATCCTATCAGAAGTGAATTATATGGAATTACAATCTCCTGATAGATAACAAAAAATTACTCAAATGTCAGCACTGTTAACCTCCTGAAGAACAAAATAAAACAAGGTCCATCCTGACCCTCCCCCAAGAAAACCCCCAGAAATAATCCATCTCTGAAAGTTACCAGAGTTAAATAACTTGAAGAATCATTTACTGGCCAGTGTTTGCATGAACATGTGGACCATTCTTAAAGTGCTGTTGTCAACTGTCTATAAAAACTTTCATTCTCTTATCTGTATTAGGGCTTGTGTATATAAACTACAGTTGGTGTTAAGTATTGCTCTCATATGGTGAATTTGGAATACTGAATTTTATAAAATCAAAATCAAAACATTCAGAAGTTTGAAAGTCAACTGTTAAGGTTCTATTAATTAATTTTAGAGTGGCTATGATTTCCAAAAGTTTAATCTAGAGAAACAAAGATGAGGAACTATAACCAAGAACAGAGTATGAGAAACAAATTCCTCACAGGATCCATTAACCTCAGATAATTTCATATGAAAAAAAAAAATAAAACAGTTTCAATGAACATGGAAAAAGCATTTCACAATGAATTATGGGGAATATTTTTAGCAATGACCTAATGACCAATGACCTCTTTTTTTTTTTTTTTTTTACATTTTAAAATACATCCTTCCCTAATATGACAATTATTCAATTATTTCTGGGCATAATTTGTCAAGAATGCTTAAATATTGCATTTCTCTCTCTCATCTTCCCATCTCTCTCTCACTTTCTTTGTTGTTTTTTTTCTTTGCAGTAATGTTGACTCTAAGACTTTTTTTTTTTTTTATGAGAGACACCTGTCAAATTGAAAACCTTTTATTTTTCTTGTATTTTATTAAAACAGTATGGAATACATCAAAGATTGCTAAAAATCTTCAGAATGGTGACATAAAAGAGATTTTGATTAAAAATTTAAAAAAGGAAAATAACTAGGAACTTCCAGTCTTTAACAGACAGACTTCTTTGTAGGAATTCTGGAAAGCAGAAGCCTGGTGAAGTCTTCTACCATTGTCTTACTGAATCCCTGAATTCTGATTGATTAATATCATTAATATGATGGTAATTTTATTCCTGACTTTTTTTTTTTTTTTTTT